CATTATTAACTTCTAGGCTGTGGATTTGCCCTGAAGGTTTACAAGGATGCTGAGAGTTTTATCTGTAAAAGTTGAAAGGTGTGGGCCATGCCTCAGGGCTCAGGACCATCGCCTCAAAGGACACCATGGTCAGTTGGTATAACAAAGTCCACACATTGTTTTGTATCCTACTTAAGTGAGTAGCGACTGCGATCTTAAAAGCTCATGAGTGGCCATCTAAGGTACAACTATTGTTCTTTCTCTGCGTGGAGGAAAGAAAAGTGATGAAAACTGAAGGCACTTAGAAACAGTTAGTCCAGTGGACTATGGAACTTGTGAACATCAGTCTCCATGACCCCAAGACCAGAAGAAACTAGATGGTGCCCGGCTACCACTGCCAACACTCTGAAGTGGATCCGATTAGAAGGTCCTGGATAGAGCAGGAGAAAATGTGGACCCAAACTCAAATCTCTAAAGCCAGGTTTACTGGTCAGATATGACCCTTGGTCACTCTTCAGGTCCGGAACTGAATTTAGCCCCCTGGGATCAGTTTTCGCCATGCTATCGTCAGCAATTCAAGCCCACCAGCCTCTCCTCAGAAATCCTTTACAGGGTCACTATGACTTGCAATTTACTCGACGGAACTTAACACCAACAATGGATAGGTATCTAGAGGGGCCAACACTAGTGAGGTTTGCCCACCGTAGTATGATCAACCATTCAATATCAAAAAGGCAGCATTTACCTACGGACCAAATTCATAAGGACAAGAAGGCGGTAGAGATGGAACACAGGGAGGAAGTGGGATAAGTGATGTTCCATTAGGGGATTACACTGAAGATGAAAAAAAAAAAGGGATTTGTTGAATGTAAAACTGATCACCTGCTCTGTAAACTTACACTCAACAATAAAAAGCTGAAAATACATAAAGAATACAGGAGATAGCTGTTTTGAGAGGGAAGTGGCTATGGAAGGGCTCTGGTGGATTGGGGGACACTGGACGAGGGCACAAACTAGAAGATCCCAAGAAGTCAATGTAAGAATGTGAGTGAGAGCATGTTGGCAGACAGCCGTTAGAGAGGGGTGTGTGGGTTTAGCTCTGTACAAGGTACTAAAGGATACCTGGTGGCACAGTGGTTAAGTGTTTGCTGCAAACTCAAAGGTCATTGGTTCAAACCCACCAGCTGCTTTATAGGACAAAGCTGTGTGACAGTCTGCTTCTATTAAAGATTGTTGTTGTTATATGCCGTGGAATTGGTTCCGACTCATAGCGACCCTGTACAGGGTTCCAAGGCTGTAAACCTTTTGTTGTTGTTAAGTGCCATCAAGTCGGTTCCAAACCATAGTGACCCTGTAGAGGGTTTCCAAGGAGCGACTGGTGAGCTTCAACCACCAACCTTACAGTTCAAACCGACTTTGCAGTCTAGAGCATTAACCCACAGCACCACACCAGGACTCCATATACAACTATGCCATATAGAAAACGACCATTTCCTCTTCTACCTACATCCATCCATACCTCATGGAACCCAGTGTTTCCCATCCACCCATATCCATCCATACCTCATAGAAAGAAACCCAACGTTTCCTCTTCCACCTATATATATCCATACCTCTTAGAAACCCAACGTTTCCTCTTCTAAACCTATACATCCATACCTCATAGAAACCCAGCGTTTCCTCTTCCAAACCTATACATCCATATCTCATAGAAACACAACATTTCCTCTTCCAAACCTATACATCCATACCTCATAGAAACCCAACGTTTCTTCTTCCAACGGAACAGCTGGTAGTTTCGAACTGCTGACCGTTTGATTAGTAGCCTAGTTTGTAACCACAACACTACCAGAGGATTATAGCCTACTAAGTCCTGTGGGATATTTCTACTGTGTCCTGTAGGGTTGATATGAGTCAGAATCAACTCAATGACACACAACAACAAAAGCAAACAATTCAAACTAACTGCCATTGAATTGACTCTGACTCATCAAGCCCCTTTAGGGCTGAATAGAATTGCCCCTAGATTGTAAAGGAGCCCCAGTGGTGTGGTGGGCAACGCATTAGCTGCTAACTGCAAGGTTGGCAGTTCAAATCCACTAGTTCTGCAGGAAGAAAATGAAGCTGTTGTTTCCATTAAAGATTTACAGTCTCAGGAAACTCTCTACAGTATCACTATGAGTTGGAATCCACTTGATGGCAGTGGGTATAGGTCCCTACAAGCTTGCTGTGAGTTGGAATGGACTTGGCAGCAAATGGTTTGGGTTTTACAGAAGCAGGCTTTGTCCCGCATACACCACTGCCAACATAGCACTAAATAATTGCATGAATGAGTAAGATTTCACAAATAATGGTATTGTAGAGAAGACTCTTGGGATACAAGAGGTCAAAGAACTGTGAGGTTGTGGCATTAAAATGAACTGTTTTTACAGTCAGAATATCATCCGCTTGCCAATGATCATGATGGTGGCAGGTGACCGCACAATGCTTTGTTCTCTTGTCTGAGGGTTGCCTTGAGTAGGAGCTTGTTCACTGGCAAATAACAGCAATGGCAACATCAGATACATTTTAGCTGGAGAGATTGGGATGTGGTGGGTCTGGCACTGTGGATGGAGGCACGGAGCTAGGAAACGCTCTTGTTCTCTGGTGGAGGTGGCATTGCCACCCTGCTCCTGGCTGCCTCCTCACCTGGAGTGTGGGTTAAGGATAGAGTGTGGGGAGGCACGGAGCTAGGAAACGCTCTTGTTCTCTGGTGGAGGTGGCATTGCCACCCTGCTCCTGGCTGCCTCCTCACCTGGAGTGTGGGTTAAGGATAGGCTGTGGGGAGGCACGTACTCTCTGTGGTGAGGCCAAGGTAGGGGATTTTGCCCCTGGATTCTGAGACTAAGTGTGTCAAAAGGGCTGACGTGGAGAAGAGAAGCTATGCAGTCACAATAGAGAAAACCGAAAGGGAGCAGGGAAGGAGGAATGGGTGGCCGCAGCAGTTTACGCCTTAGAGTGTGAGCCTCAGCGTTTCAGACAGTCATGGCGAGAGGGACTCTGGACCCAGGTCACCGGTCAGTAGGCTTGACTTGGGCCTCCTGAGGCTCTAGCTTGCTCCTAAGGCATAACTTGTTTAAAGTAATCTTTATCCAGCCTCAACTGGTTTAATTCTCGAAAAATAGTCTTTTATGCAAATCTCTCAATTTTTCTTTCAGTTTTTAAACCTAGAATAGTGCATTTTCTTAATTAAAACACCCAAACACTTCCGAGAACATGGGCAAAATCGAATCAGTTAGATAAATAGCGACCTTTGAGGACTTGAGCAGCTCTCTTAACTTGTTCTTTGCTGGGAAATTCATGGGGGTGGGGGGCTTCTAGCAGTGACTTCATTTCTGCCGGGAAGAAGCCCCAAATCTGGTTTTCATTCTGAAGTATTTTGGGACAAAAGATATTGAGAAAGCTGCCATGGCCCTTCCATTGCTTTTGTTTTATTTTGTTTTTTATCCCCTGTCTACATTCGTTGTTAATTGCAAAGGGAAAAATGAAAAGATGATTTCAGCCATTTATATACCCATTTATACAGCCATATATACAAAAGGAATTACCGTATTCCTCTCTGGTACTTAAAATATCAAGCACATATTAGACTCTCTGCTAATGCTTAGTCAATAAAGGGGAAAAAAAGTACCTCAAAACATATATTATTGCTAATCTGCTTAAATGCAAAGTTAAGCTTGAATTGAATATTTAAGTGTTGGAGACAAAATACTGCATTTTGTAGATTTGAAGAACCTGGGTGAAGGGCGAAATGTGGGATTTCTGTGCGGTATAGATGTGTCCAGGTGCAGAAGGAAACTTTGTGTTTCTGTGTGGTACAGATGTATCTAGGTGGAGGAGAAAATGTTAGAGTTTTATTTGGTATGGCCCGGAGTTCTGGTGTGACACTGTGGGTTAATGCACTAGACAGCAAACTTGTTTGAACATCAAGATCGGTGGTTCAAGCTCACCAGCCACTCCTTGGAAACCCTATACCCAGTCGCTATGGGTCAGAACCAACTCAACAGCACTTAACAACAACAACAATGGTATGGATGTATATGGGTGGAGGAGGAACATTGAGTTTCTATGTGGTTTGGATGTGTATAGGTGGAGGCAGAAACGTTGGGTTTCTATGAGGTATGGATGTATGTGGATGAGGAGGAAACATTGGGTTTCTATGAGGTATGGATATATACAGGTGAAAGAGGAAATGTTGGTTTTATATGAGGTATGGATGGATATGGGTAGAGGAGGAACTGTTGGGTTTCTATGTGGTATGGATATATATGGGTGGAGGAGGAAATGTTGGTTTTATATGAGGTATGGATGGATATGAGTAGAGGAGGAACTGTTGGGTTTCTATATGGTATGGATATATATGGGTGGAGGAGGAAATGTTGGCTTTCTATGAGATCTGGATGTATATGGATGGAGGAGGAAACGTTGGGTTTCTATATGGTATGGATGTATATGGGTGGAGGAGGTAATGTTTGGTTTCTATGAGGTATGGATAGGAAACACTGGGTTTCTATGAGGTATGGATGGATATTGGTAGAAGAGGAAACATTCGTTTTCTATATGGTATGGTTGTATATTGGAGGCAAAGGAAATTTTAGGGGTTCTATGAGGTATGGCTGTATATAGGTGGAAGAGGAAACATTGGGTTTCTATGTGGTATGGTTGTATATTGGTGGCAGAGGATATTTTAGGGTTTTTAGGTGGTATGGATGTATCTGGGTAGAGGAGGAGACGTTGGGTTTCTTTGTGTTTTGGAAGAATCTGTGTGGAGTCGGAAACATTGTGTTCTTATGCGGTATGGATGCATATGGGTGGAAGAGCAGCTGTTGTGTTTCTTTGTGGTATGGATGTGGATGGGTGGAGTAGGAAACTTTGAGTTATGGATACATCCAGGTGAAGGGGAAAGCATTGAGTTTCTATGTGGTAGAGGGGACACGTTGAGTTTCTGTGGGCTCTGAATGCATCTTTCCCTCTGTTTTCAGGTGGTTTGAAGTGTCCTGTTTGCAGCTTTGTGTATGGCACCAAGTGGGAGTTCAACAGGCACTTGAAAAATAAGCATGCGCTGAAGCTGGTGGAGAACGAAGGAGACCCCAAGTGGGAGGTAACTTTCCAATGTGCGCTGTTGCTGTAGAGCTAAAGAAGGTATTTATAAAGGTCCTTGGAAGAAGAAACATTAGTTTTCTATATGGTATGGTAGTTCGCTAAACCTTGGGGAAATGGACAGTCCTATCAGATATTCAGACCTGCTATGAAACATCAATTCCCCAAAACTGTGGTAATGGGGCACAAATAGTGAAACAGAATAGCCGTGTGGAAGGAACCAAATCGTAAACGGAAATTTTGGATCTCAGGATAATGACCTCTAAGTTGGCCATCTATAAGGTGGGATCGATTTGACTGCAGAGGGTTTGTTGTTGTTGTACCTCTTTTTGTCTTACATTGGTGGGGAAAAGATGGACAGTTTACTAAATGATGTAAGATAGATAAATCACTAAGGAAAAAGAAAAAGATCCGTTTTTCATAGTTTATATGAAAAAAGTTTCAGTAGCCAGAGTTTTAAACACAATAACATTAATGTCTTCTTAATACTAGAAGAAAATAGGAGTGAATTCATCTACAAACTGAGACGAGGGAAATTTCAAAATTGTAATTCACTAAAGGGGAAAGAAGAGTCCAGGTGCTGTGCTGTAAGATAAGCACTGGGCTGCTAACTGCAAGGTTGGTGGTTCAAACTCACCAGCTGCTCCTCGGAAACCTTACCACACGGTCGCTATGAGTGGGAATGGACTCAACAGCACTTAACCACAATAAGGCAAAAAGAACTGTATGTAAGTACAGTTTTCTTAGTAAATTATCGTACTCAACGTGTTTCTCACAGTAATGTAGGTTAGCAATTCTGAAAATAGTTTATGTGCATACCTGTCGTTCAGTGCCGTCGAGCGACTCTGTATAGGGTTTCTGAGGAACGGTTGGTGAGTTTGAACCATCAGCCTTGTGGTTCAAACTGACCTTATGGTCCAATGCTTACCCTACAGCTCCACACTAGGACTCCATGTGCACATTGGAAATGGGAACCAAGTGTTTCACTGGTGAAGAAAGAAGTTACAAATAAGGGACGATGGATAGCTCGAAGGAACCTTATGATGCTGATTTTTTATTTAACATACAAGGAAGCTTTGAAAAGTTCGTGGGCAAATGAATTATAAGATAATATAATTTTTCATGAATTTTTGAAGCCCTTGTGTTGTTGTTGTTAAGTGCCTTCGAATCAGTTCCAACCCATAACGACCCCGTACAGGGTTTCTGAGGCTGTAAATCCTTACGGAAGCAGAAAGCCTCATCTTTCTCCTGTGGAGCAGCTGGTGGTTTTGAACTGCTGGCTTTGAGGTTCACAGCCCGATTCGTGACCACTACGCTACCAGAGCTCCTTAAGCCCTTGTATAGGAGCTCATGAATTGTCCTGTGTGTAGATGCAGACAAATAGATGCAGAAATAATTATAGGTATGTATGTGTACAGGGTCGCTATGGATCGGAATCGACTCAGCGGCACTTAACAAGAACAACAGTGTATACATGGAGTCCTGGTGTAGCTCTGTGGGTTAATGCGCTGGACTGCAAAGTCATTTGAATCACAAGGTCAGTGGTTCAAGTTCATCAGCAGCTCCTTAGAAATCCTACACAGGGTTGCTATAGGTGGGGACCACCTCGACGGCACTTAACAGCAACAATAATGTGTATACATGGTTTAGGTAGATATATCCATAAACATGTCTTATGATTCGTCCATGTATTTCAGTAACCCTTTGTGCTAAGATATCCATGAATACATTTCATCCTCAGATCTGCGTTTCTACTTACATTGTCCAATAAAAGGAACCAGAATCCTTTGGAAAATGGTTGATTCCAGAGCAAAGAGTGATGAACAAGATGAACCTCGAGCACTTGCTGATCTGCTTCTACACAGATTACAGTCTAGGAGACCTGATGAGACAGTTCTAGTCTGTTATATAGGGTCACTGTGAGCAACCACATGAGATCCTAACCCACACAATAGAATCAATACCCATGGGGCCATATCAGTCTAAATAAATGGTTAGATAAAAATAAATGATGGTTGAGAAGCGACAACTCTTCCCTCAGAATTTCTGAATCTCCTAATGTAGAAAGAATAAGGAAATAGAAAATCACTATTAGAATACCACAGTACTAATTGTAGCAGAGAAGATCAGTGATAAAAGCTCCAATTAGTAGGCAAGCATTTAAGGAGAAACAGAGTATTTGTGTAGCTTCAAAATATCTCCCCGGAAACATTTATTGACCTCAAGGGAAAAGGAGTGACTTGGAGGAAACTGGGAGACACCGTCTCAATCAAATGACCCAGGTTAACAACCTCAGTGACTAGGCACCTGGTTGTTACACAGCACCCCCACACCCCAGCATGGTGTGATGAACAGGAAACTTCAACTTTGTGGAGATCTTCACAAAAATCCTCATCTCATTCCATCATGAGGAACATCAAGAATCACCCACGTGAGGTTCATTATCAAAATGTCTGACCAGATCTCCTCAAAGTGTTAAGGTCACAGAAGACGAGGAAAGACTGAGGAACTGTCCCAGTTGGGAGGACACTGGGAAGACATGATGTTAATGCTATGAGTCAACATGGCTGGGTTGGGATTCTCAGCACTATGTGATTATATTTTGTGACCGGATAGAAGGTGTGTTTCATTGAGGCTGTGGCCTGCTTCCATTTTATGAGGGGGCTTCAAAATGTCTGTGGAATTATCTTTTCATTCCATTTTTCCATTAATTTGGAAGCCACCTTATCTACGGATGCTTTGACCAGGCTCTTTATCCTGCATCTGACTCATTATATCCAGCTTCCGGTTCTTGGGATGTGAGACAACCGTCTGCTGTGTGACGTGCCAAATTTGGTTCCTCAGTCCCTGCAACCCCATGAGTCAGAAGAAGCCTTCAGCCTCATGCCTGACACATGGATCTAGGACTTGACAGCCTCCACACGTGTGGGAGCCATTCCTGGGAAGTAAATCTCTTTATATACACATTGTTGTTAAGTGCTGTTGAGTCAGTTCTGACTCATAACAACTGTGGTAGGTTTGAATTGCTGACCTTATGGTTAGCAGTCTGGTGCTTATCATACAATGCCACAACAGGACTCCTATATATACATATGTACATGTGTGCATATATATACATATACATACATACATGTGGTTGTTGTTAGGGTACTGCTGAGTTGGTTCCAACTCTTAGCGACCTCATGCACATAGAACAAAACACTGCCCAGGCCTGTGCCCTCCTCACTATCCCTGGCATGCTTGTGCCTGATGCTGCTGCCACTGTGCCACTCCATCTCATCTGGAGTCTCGTTCTCGCTGACTCTCCACTGTACCGGAGTCCTGGTGTGATGCTGTGGGTTAATGAGCTGGACTGCAAAGTTGGTTTGAATTGCAAGGTCGGTGGTTCAAGCTCACCAGCAGTTCCAGGGAAACCCTATACAGGGCCACTATGGATTGGAACCGACTTGACAGCACTTAACAACAACAACAACTTCACTTTACCAACAGTGATGTCCTTCTCCAGGGACTGGTCCCTCCTGAGATCTTATTCAAAATATGAGAGATGAAGTCTGGCTGTCGTAACTTCTAAGGAACCTTCTGGCTGCACTTCTTCCAACACAGATTTGTTTGGTCTTCTGACAGTCCGTGGTACTTTAAATATTCTTCTCCAGCACCATAGCTCAAATGCATCAATTCTTCTATGATCTTCCTTATTCACTGTCAACTTTCACATGTGTATGAGGTTATTGAAAATACCATGGCTTAGATCAGGCGCACCTTAGTCCTCAAGCTGACATCTTTGTTCTTGGATGCTTTAAAGAGGTCTTGTGTGGCAGATTTGCCTTATGCAATATGTCGTTTCATTTCTTAAGTGCTGCCTCTATGAGTGGGTAGTGGATCCATGCAAAATAAGTCTTTGACAACTTCAATCTTTTCTCCATTTATCATGGTGTTATTTATATGTCCAGTGGTGAGGATTTTTGTTTTCTTTACATTGAAGCTCAACCCATGCTGAAGGCTGTGGTCTTTCATCTTCATCAGTAAGCATTTCAAGTCCTCTTTGCTTTCAGCAAGCAAGGTTGTGTCATCTGCACATCACAGGTTGTTCATGAGTCTTCCTCCAATCCTGATGGCACATTGTTATTCATATAACTCAGTTTATTGTATTATTTACGCAGCATACAGACCAAGTGTGGTGAAAGAATACAACCATGGAGTACAGTTTTCCTGATTTTAAACCATTCAGGTATTTACTTGCTCTGTTTGAATGACTGCCTCTTGGTCTATGTACAGGTTCCTCGTAAGCACAATTAAGTGTTTTGGAATACCGTTATTAGCAATGTTGTCCATAGCTTTTCATGATCAACACAATTGAAAGCCTTTGTATAGTCTGAAAAACAAAGGTAAGCATCTTTCTGGTATTCTCTGCTTTCAGCCAAGATCCATCTGATGTCAGCAATGATATCCATCTGATGTCAGCAATGATATCCATCTGATGTCAGCAATGATATCCATCTGATGTCAGCAATGATATCC